TACGTCTATTGCGCCACCGTGGAAAAGCGTTCGTAAGCACAAGTGACGCAAGCAGCCTTGCCTCTCATGTGGCGTCACATCACGACCACTCTCTGAACTAACGGTGGCCGTTGAAGAGCGCACGTTTGCGCTGGCATTGAGTGAAATAAAGAAGGCGTACTGACAGGTAGACGGACGGACGGATGCTTGGCCTCACTTATGATCATTCACTCTGTGTATATACTGTGATTTTTGTATCCTGACGTCACGTTAGCAATCTACTGATGTTACGAATTGTTCCGCAAAAACGCCAGGAGAGAATAGGGCGCTTGTCTTCAGTACTTTAGTTCACAATTCATGCAGCCTCGGCAGGATAAATACTCAACTGCGCTGTCATGTGTTAGGCGTTGACAAGTTGACAACGAACCTTGCATATCTTGTTGCGCTTAGTGAGATTGGATGCCAGCTGTCGCGTTTCGCTTGTGCCTTCCTTTTTTTTTTCTTTGCTTGCTGTTCAGTTGCTTGCTTGGAGGCGTTGGTTTTTATAGCACGGTTCAAAAATGTGGCCTTTGAAGGCGCGCTAGTCACAAGCGTATATTTGTATGCGCCGCTTTTCGGTAACTGGTGCTCTTTTGATCGGCGATAGCCTGTCGATTCCGATGTGGCGCGATCTGATGATTTTTTCGAGGGGACCTCTCGTGTCACGTTTCCATAAGCAACATGGAGGCAATACAAACAAACAAAAAAAGCACCTTCACTTAATATCCTACTACGACTAATCTGTCCGCAGCGGCGGGGGAGCTCAAGGCCCGAACGTCATCGAGCCAAGCCAAATAATATTCTGTCGTTTGTTGTTCACCGGCGCCCACATATACTATACGACCGGTAAACTTGGACTTTGTTTCCAGAAAATGGGGATGTTTTTCAAAAGCATCCACTTCTAGGTGCTTGAATATATATGAGACGCATATCTGCAGCGCATGCACGCACAAACGCACACACACAAACACACACACACACACAACAGCATGCACTTTGCCTCCCGTACACCCGACTTCCTGAATGAGCAGGAGGCACGGATGTAGAAAAGAGAGTCCCATTACCCCGTGCTACGCAAAAGGAAATGACGTCATAGCGGCTACATTCACTAGGCACAATGGCCGCGTTGCTCTGGTTACGGCGGCGCCATTGTTTTGCCTTGTTGTTTGCTCCGCAGTGTTCTCCCGTGCTGCAGTTCCACCCAGCACTGTTTATAAAACCTGTTGGTAGCCACAGAGTCTGAACGGTATAACGAGCGCCCATTCACGCACTGCAGCGCAGTCCGTCAATGATTTGGAGTGCTCAGCAAAATCAATGTTAGGCACTGTGAGGAAATACCGTGGTACGGCTGTTCCTGCTTGGGACCGCGGATGAAGTATACATTGAGTCCCGCAAGACGAGATGACAGGGAGTTTCGTGTTAACAAATTTCTTGCGCCCACTATAACACTAGCCGTCTCACAGCACACGCGTTCTCAGTCAAGTGACATTTCCACGCCTGCACCGTGCGCACACTGCTGTGCTCGTGAGATAAACCAATGGCTCGTGCACGTTTTCTGTACAGAGCGTAAATGGAGTTGTGAGAACAGACATGCTGTGGCGCTTTCTCGTGCCTGCCTCGTGTCGGCGCAGTTGCGATCACCACATTTCCCCGGCCACAATACATGACTGTCCTGGTAAACCGCGGACGGTTCAGCCATGGATTTATACATTTGAGCGTAGCACTCCACGTCAAGTACGATTGTCTTTTGTGCCCCAACCCTGTAAACCATTTCTGCTGCTGCAAATCCCTCGTCGCGCCGTGTCCACTCGTAACCGAGGCCTCTCCCATCGCCGGGACGTGAAGGCGGCTGCAGTGCAGAACTGAATTCAAACACGGCCCATTCGTGCTCCTCGGAGACTTCACCGCGGACATCGTGGCTTTTGACGACGGCTCCCGTTACGTTCTCTCGTGCAACTGGTACGACCACATACGTCCCACCATCATTAGAGGCGCCTGTATCGACATTGCCTTCTCCTACTCTCATTCAAGGCCACGTACTCCACCGACTACAAAGATATCATTATCAAAGGGAAACGCGTCCCACAACTCTGTAATCAGTAATGTAATGAATGTATATGATTTCACCCAAGGTGTAAATCATTACATCTTGTGTGTATACAATTCCTTCGATATGTAAATAATAAAGACCGGGTATATAAGTGCACATACAATCAGTCATACAGCATAGAAACACGTGGAGTCTTTACATTATGTGTGAATTCTACACAAATTGCAGGCGCTTGTCATCAGAACAGTGATTTGGCTAATAAAGTAAAGATACTAGGCATAATTCAGAATGCTCATATACCCTTGTTATGGGGATGGTAATTATATGGCCAGTCTCAGCTGGATTTCGCCGCCGCGTCGATATCACACACCGTATATGTATATGAAACGCAAGAAAGAAAAAAATCTAAAAATGAGACTCCGGTCTCATTTTTAGATCCCATTGAATGTGGGATCCTCCGTGTCATGAATGCGAGGCATTAACCACTGAGCTGCCAAGGGTACCTCCTTCAATGTTCAAACGGCAAGCTATATCTATCACTTACAGCTGTGGCGGGCATCTCGGGGGTGAGGGGGAGCTATTGTGTCTTCAGCATTATCAGCAAGATGGCAGAGTGAGCGCGCGGCAGCTCTCATCTCTCACGCGTACTTTGGCCCACGGAGAGGAGGGTGGTGGACGATCTCTCGCGCGCTCTTATCTCCTGGTGGGGAGGATCATACATGTTGGCTGGTCCCAGGCTTGCACTGGAATGATTCTGTTGTAGTTACAGGGCGCACAAAGGTGACTGCAATAGTTGCACAGCCTCCGTTTGCGGGAAAAGTGCGTTTTTCAGGCACAGCGAAGTAACAACTGAGACGCTTATTCCTGTTCATCTGTACCTGTGAGTACGTTTTGTGCGTACTCACAGGTACAGCTTGCAATTTCCTTGTTCGTATTAGCGCAGTTAAACCTTTCAATGAATGTGATATTATACAAGGTATTTAAAAGTGACAAAGTACGCGAGAATTAACACCAAAGTGACAGTGTTGGAATGCAGACTGTCAAGCATGTGTCTGCTCCACTGCTTCACTTACCCCGCCGTGGTGGTATAGTGGCTAAGGTGCTCGGCTGCTGACCCGCAGGTCGCAGGATCGAATACCGGCGGCGGCGGCGGTGGCTGCATTTACGATGGAGGCGGAAATGTTGTAGGCCTGTGTGCTCAGATTTGGGTGCACGTTAAAGAACCCTAGCTGGTCGAAATTTCTGGAGCCCTCCACTGCGGCGTCTCTCATAATCATATGGTGGTTTTGGGACGTTAAACCCCACATATCAATCAATCAATGCACTGCTTCACTTCTAAGAGTCAGTGAGCTTGATGGTGACAATTTTAATGGAAAGCTTGAGCATATTGAAGCTAGATGAAGAGGTAGACAAAGAAAGGCAGAGGCTTTGTCCGCATCGCAGTTGCCTGGTCACCAAGTGGGCCAGCTTTCAATTACTCAGCGGTAGAAACCAGCCCATTCAGAAAGAGTGACAAAGCATTCAGAAGATACATAGTATATGATTTTAGAAATATGTTTTACAATGCTTATAATTATTTAGAATGGAGTGCTCTTCTTCATAGTTTTCTTACTATATGCCTGCCTTCTTGATAAAGCAAAGAAAAACGATGAATAACTCCATCTTAATGGAGTGCATGTTAGTTTGAGTGTCAACACTGCGTGTGTGCTATATTTAATTAAGAAAACATGAATGCTGAATATGTTGGGTCGAAACAAAGACTCATAAGACATTAATCTCCCAAATTTCATGAAACTTTTTTGAACAATGACATGGTTCAATAGAAAGAAAAGATAGAAGTTGCTGCCAGCAATGTTTTCGACTCTCTATATCACATGTTTTGTTTTTGCAACATTTAACAGCACTTCATGTCACCTAAACCACATTGCAATATCACCCGAAAACATGTTTGTGGTTGACTTGCATGTAATCATATACATGCTACTGATTACTTGCAACCAATTAACATTTTTCACATTGCAATCGATCTATTACTTTTTAGCCCAACCGGCTACCGCTGCAATATGACTTTCTTCTATGTTCAGTGACACGTAGGTTACTTGATACACAGGCAGTCTTCTAACAAAGAAACTCTGCGTCCGGCATCATTGCACTGCTTCCAGCATCATTGTCATTTGTGTGTGAGAAACACGGGGCACGTTTGGATCTGCTTGCCATTCTCTGCGTGACCTTCTTATTTGTTGCTATTGCGTTCGCTTTTGCGGCAAGGCTGTGACTTTTTTTTCTCGGTGCGAGCGCAACGCCAGCACGAAGTGATATAGCCACACGCCGCCCGGGTAATTTTGAGAACGGAAGAGATAGATGTGGTCCACTGTTTGCATGTGAACCGGGGATGAGAATCTGCCCATATTATCTAGAGTGACGTCGGGGACTCTCCCGAGTTGCTTCCTTCCTCCGAGGTGGTAGGTTGTGTGAAAGTGCAAAACCATTTTTCTCTCGCCGCATGCAAGCCCCGCCAACCGCGCGGCAGTGTGTGCCGCCAGCGGCTAGGCCTCAGGTCACAAACAATGTGAGCTGGAACACCAAATTTGTGTTGCCTGTAATGTGCTGATGTTAATGCGACGTCACTCGGAGGATACATGCTTTTTTTTTCGCTATCCAAATAGCTTTGCATTTTGCTCTTGGAGCTTTGCGGCCGACTGCTGGTGTTTCGAAGGAAAGTTGTGCGATCCGAGATGACTTAGTTCTCGTGATGTCCCGAATCTGAGTGAAACAAATGACGGCAAAAAAAAAAAGATGACTATTGGGCGAACTGCATGCATGGTGTCCAGGAATGCGCGTGAATAGCGGCGGCTACAGTCGCTAATAGCGGCGGCTACAGTCGCTAATCTGACTGGCGGCCTTAAAATGAAGCGCACAGTCGCCTTACGGAATGGCACAATTTGCCCGGGTCTGCTTTGCAGATGTGCATTCAAAGGACGCTACATTGTCTGTGCAGGAGCTGCTGGCGACGGCGTGCGAGTCCGTGGTGGCAGCCGACGCCTTGTCGGCTCTTCGCTGCTGGCGCCTTCTCGTCTTCGGGCTCGGTAGAGTCCGGAGGCCGACCGGAGTCAGTGCGCCGGCGCCGGACCTTAGAGTCTGAGGACTCCAGCTACGACTCGGACACCGAAAACCCTGGCGACACGACGTCGTCTACGCGGCAGCACGAGGACGTCTCCCGAACCGTGTCCGACACGCTGGGTGCCGAGTTCGCAGAGTACGTGACGGCGGGACCCCAGTACGCCAGCCGGCTCGAGTTTGCCGTCAAGCTAGGATACACCTGAGCAACAGGTGAGATGTCTAGACGCACATAACTTGGCGGTTTCCAACTGGCGAACTTGGACATTCGCAGGTGCAGCAGGCCCTTCGTCGGCTGGGCCCTCAGCCGGCTCAGAACGAGCTGCTGGCCGAGCTGGTGCGGCTGGGCGCCAGGGAGCAAACTGGCGACTCGGCGGCACCCCGCGCCGACCAGTCCTCGTCGCAGGCTGAGGACCCCCTCAGGCCGATCGTCATCGACGGAAGCAATGTTGCCATGAGGTGAGTGTCGGACGCAGTGCATGATCCAAACGTCCTTGCTCTCAGGAGCCATTTGGAACACCGTTTCAAGCTGGGCCTCTTTCATAGAGGCTGACACCACGAAAGGCGGGGCTCAATCGCCAATGGTGACGAACAGATATGAGCACATTTTTGCACACCGTACGAAGCGCACGAGGCCGGTTTCCGTGACTGCGAAAACGGTTGTATGCAGGACGCGTGTCCATGTAGAGACCTACTTCGCCCAAGCGCCCTGCTGGTGACGTCATGCACAACATTCGCTCGTGGCTATTCGAGTTCTGGTGCAAACTGATAGAGCCAGTGTGTCGGAATAGAATGAAAATCGAGAACGAGAATAAAAAAAAACTACATTTTTGACCGGAACGAAGACGTAACCAAAACGTTGTCTATATTTTGTTCAAGAGTAAAAGAGATTTTTTACTCGTTTTTCAGTTCACATAGAAAACTTGGCAGTCCCGAACGACCGAGGACATGATGAGTAATAAGTATCTCAGCCTACATTAGTAGCACGCAACTCGGGCAGAAATTCTAAAGTAAAGATGTGTTGCAATGGTGCGAAAAATGAAAATAGTGGCAGCAAGAGATGTTGATATTACCGTAAATAGATTTCCGTGCATTTCTGACACATTGCAACATGGCATCCTGGTCGCAGAAGTATGTTTTATACAAACGGCGCTGTCGCATACGAGAGGTATGCTCGATGATGGGCTGCTTTTGAGATATAGCTGACTACCTTCACGCAGTACACTAAAGAACTTCGTGATTCTCTTTTGAGAAAGTCTAGTTCAACTAGGAGTGGCCTTGATTTGTGGAACGAAACTAAAACTGAAAGGAAAACCATTTCGTTCCAACAGAAGTTCAGTCGGCACCACAGCGACTGCCGAGCAGTGGTGGCACGTGCACAACTTTGTCAGTCGTCGTGTGTATGACGCTTTCATGCACCGCGCTGGTCGCTGATGTCTTTGCAGGCCGGAAAGGCATGGAAAAACAATGCTTGTAACATAGGTGGTCTAGTACAGGCAACAAGGATGGATGGATGAAAAACTTTTATTGGGGTCCTGAAGGATTCTACTCCCGCTTTATAGGGTTAGAATGGCGGGCCACTCACATGTAGGGACTGGTAGGCCCAGCCTTCTGGACAGCCTTGATTTGTTATAAGAGAACCGGACTTGTGAGCATTAAATAAAAGGAGTTTTTGGAAAATTCTTCTTTTTTTTTCTGTGTAAAGAGAGGCATCTCCAGAGCATGTGGTTAATATCACTGTGATTGTGGCAATACGGACAAAGTTCTAAAATATCGGAATATTGGCTATAGGTTACGAGACTAGGGTATGTTACCGTCTGAAGCATGCGAAGAGAGATTGCCTGTGGCCTAAACAACTTTTCAGGCAACGATGAATGAAAAAAAAAGTTTGCATAAAAATATAACAAATCTGTGCATAGTAACAGGTTTTTGTTCATTCTGCATTGGAAATAGCAGCTACTCTATCTGCTCCGTCCGGTTCACCAAGGGGCAGTACAATTAGAAGCCAGATGTGGTGATGTCGCGCAAAGAATTATAACCAGGAAAGGAATCACAGGGGGTGCAAACTTTTCACTGTTCATTCCAAAATTACTGCAACCCAATATGCATATATTCAAATGCATGCGCGGAAAGCAAGGTGCACATCGAGCAGGTAATGGTTAGTGCAATGCAATACTTCGGTATAGACATGGTTATAGAAGTAAAGGCCCACATCGATCGGATAACATCTTAATCACAACCTGCGATCCGAGAACGTGCTTTCTTCCGGTGAAAGGAGCGTAGAACTGTCTGTAATGAACCTCATGCTTTTATGTAAAAATCTTTCAGCAATTCTCGAGCAGGTGGTGTCCCCAGAATCTGTTTTATTCAGATACGCCTCACGCGTGTGTGAATTGCAGTGTGCCAGAAAATGTGCCCCGCCTTTACCATTTAGTGACAGCTCGCGTTCTCGTCTGGCCGTCTTTTTGTGCACGAGTTTGCGCGCTTCTTGCCGCAACCACTTTTTTTTTTTTTTTTCTCATCATGCATGGCCCCGCCGCGGTGGTCTAGTGGCTGAGGCACTCGGCTGCTGACCCGCAGGTCCCGGGTTCAAATCCTGGCTGCGGCGGCTGCATTTCCGATGAAGGCGGAAATGTTGTAGGCCCGTGTGCTCAGATTTGGGTGCACGTTAAAGAACCCCAGGTGGTCGAAATTTCCGGAGCCCTCCACTACGGCGTCTCTCATAATCATATAGTGGTTTTGGGACGTTAAACCCCACATATCAATCAATCAATCAATCCCATCATGCATGGACAAAGCGGAGATAGCTTCCGTGCCTGTTCGCAGCCTTCTTGTGAGTGTGTGAAATTCAGTGCATATAGTGTACGACCCCAGGTCTCGCTGTTCTCCGCTCAACCCCATTACTGTGGTGTTTACATTTGAACTTTTGGAAGAGCGAGGAAAACCAGCCAAGGTCAACCGATCCAATCGGTTTTGAAAACCCTTCTGCATGACGAGCAGGGGGGCACGAACTAGAAAGTGCAGACTATACAGTATTTGGCTATGGCCCTTTTCACAGTCTTGGAACGCGCCGACTCATATGGTAGCAATTATTTTTTAGGCTTGGGCGAATACAGCCAACAGGCTCCTGCAGGGTGATGCCCAAAGCCCGAAACTGCCTAGAACCACTGGTCGGCCCCTCGTGTGTGAACACCAATCCTTTCCCGGGACGGGAAAAGGCCGCTAAAACATTGTTAACAATGGGCTGATTTTATTTAGTGAGAGAAGATACGCCGGTTCGCTGAGGGTGTAGGTGAAATATGTAGTAACCAGCATTTGCGGCAGTACCGGTTGATCAGCGACCGAGAGTAGACAGACCTCGTTGTCGTGCACAAAGTCTTCGATAATATGCATGCCTGTAGCGATGTGATAGACGCTTTGAGATAATTAAAAAGTCGTCAATATATCTAAAAAACTTTTAGCACATCTCCTTCGTCAATTACACAACAGTGTAGTGACACAGGAGCATACAGAAATGTCTTGTCCGTCTATATAAAAGTCTTCTTTTTGAAACTGATCAAACTCGAGAAGGGACATGAAAGCTTCTTGCCCGTGGCATTCTGAAAGGTCCCTCTCTTCTGCGCAATCTTTTACACAGGCAAACAATTCACCGTGGGGCACGGAATAAAACGAAAAAAAGCTGTGGACAGAGAGCGGGTAATGCGCCATGGATCGTTTGCGCCATTAACTGTGCAGAAAAAACAGCAGCCTGCAACTCGGTTTCGTAAGCAGCATGAAAAATAACAGTCAACTTGCGTGTAGCGTAAATCTACGCTGTCAATTTTTATTGGCCTGCGCTCTGCGGCCGCTGCCGATACAGCATCACCACCCGATAACAAACGAAAGCTTTTCGCGTCACCTATTAGCAAACAAAATAACGAGTCAATGACGTTGTACAATAAGCGCTGCTAGATAACACTGACAACGGGCGTTTCTTTAGCCCTCGGTTAATGGCGCCGTAGGCAGAGCGGGCCACGCGCTCGCTTGTTTCCTTTCATGTGTATTTATTCACAAACGCACCCACGGTATCACGATTGCTTTAGGGGGTGTACACGAATCTAATATTCCCGCCGGTTTCTGAAGCAAAGCGGAGAACTGAAAACGTAATTTCCCGCTTAACATGCGAAGCTGCGGGTAGTAACGCACACTGAGTTGACGCTCATCGCGGCGTTGCTCAAAAGAGAAATCCGGGGAGGCACGCAGTGATAGACCGGTGTTGGAACGTGTCAATCGCTGCTAATCAGAAATGAGAGACAGAAAACGCTGCGGAATTTTATTGTTGAATAATGAACATGAGATACTTCCAAGTGGTCGAGGTGCCTCGGGATCGAGCAGAGTGGTGGCAACTGGCCCAAGGGGCGAAGTGTGTATTGCTCCCTGCGTCGTCTGCTAGCCACGTCGTGTTTGCGTGGGAGAAAAGTTCGACATGCACGTTCTCAAAGGATGGTTTGTTCGGATACGTTAGCGCGATCCTAACTGGCTGTACGTATGCCTGAAACAATGTATGAAAGCATTTAATCTTGTTTGGTTGTTAATGCACGATAATAAGATCACTGAGTGTCACTTTCCAGAATGTTGTGTACTGTCGTCGTACCCTCCATTCATCAGAATCATTTCATTGTGGGTGCCGCTTTGTACTTGAAGCACATCGTAACATGTACTTGGAATCGTCCCAAACATGATAACTATTATATGGTGCGTGAATGCAGCATTTCGGCGACTTTGTCGTAAACAAAAAACGAGGCTCTAGGCCACGCGCTTGCACCTTGTTAGGTGCTGTATGTAGTTTATCGGCTATAAGATGAAATTTAGCTTTCTTTATCTGGCCGTGCTACTACGCACTACAGAGAAGTGATTCTATCAAATAAAGCGAGACACTTCGAAACTGAAACTATTCTTAACACAAAGTTGTCATGTGCAGTTTTCTAACTTGGAGCAAAATTTACGCTGAAACAACAGCCATGTGCTTGGATTTTAAAATGTTTTTGAGAACCCAGACTTCAAAGTCAATCCCCATGGCGTGTCTCATACTGATGTTGTATAATTTCACGAAAAGTGTCGTAGTATTTTCAAATTTTCATGAGCGTTTCTGTGGCATGATTGGCTGACGGAAGGCAGCGGTCACTTTTCTTTTGAAAAAAGATAAAAGAAACAGGTTCTTCTTATGAAACAAATACACCTTTGTTGTATCACTGTCACAAACGTAATCCTTCAATGAAACCTTTCCGCCGAACTCTTACGAGCTTTTGATAGAGTTTTACTGGTGCAAGAAGATGTGCGTTCGTATAGTAAACGTCAATGTAGCGCAAAGCACTGTCAGGGACGAAGCTTTCCTGGCTAGGTTTATCGGCTGTCGCTCATTTCATGGGGAACGGAATGGGAGAAAAAATGCGCAATCGTATTCGGTGCAAACAGTACCG